AAAACAGTGCATTCTGTCAGCAATGTAACGCGGCAGTAACGTATAGCGACCTCGGCTTGTAACTATACTCTAATTACTATTTTGAAAAAAATTACTCCATTACTAAAAAAAGTAATAAAATTACAGTAATGCGTTACTAAGTAATGCGTTACTGCCCAACACTGTTGGCGACTGACCTCGCCCCCTGGGCGATGAAAGCCACAGCACAGTCCCTCGGGGAGGCGATGTCCACGTTAGTGGTCCAAGAGCGCCATTTTTTGCTCAACCTGGTCGAGATGAGACGTCGACAAAGTACGCTTTCTTGATGCTCCTGTCTCTCAGGCTGGCCTGTTCAGTGACGCTGTCGAGGACTGTGCCCAGCAGTCCTCAGCAGCACAGAAGCAGACCAAGGCCATCCAGCACATCCTGCCCTGATGTGATCCTCCACCTGTCATCATTCCGTCGCGGGCCGTGCCCCATTCTGCTCGTTGCCGTGGGTGCCCTCCTGCGTCTTCCAGAGTGAGCTTCTCGCAGGAGTGCGGTGCCTCCCATGTTCCAGTCAGCCTCAAGTACTATAAAAAGACAAAGTAGTGGCACTAACACAGGCAACCCGGGGACATGGTAAGCTGCTCTCCCAGAGGACATGGTGAGTATGGAGCCACTGGATCTGGATCTGTTCCGCTGCTTGTTCACCAGCCAGCGGTATCCACAGTTTCAAGGTAGATCAGTTCCCTTTCCTCCGGGTTACCAGGCTCGTGGGTTGACAGTGAGCAATGTGCGACCTCACTCTTGCCCACAACGCCCCCAACCGCCAGCGGCCAAGAGATTGCGGCTCGGGGTGACCGTGAGCGATGCGCGGCCTCCTCACTCTTGCCCACAACGCCCCCTACCGCCAGCGGCCAAGAGATTGCGGCTCGGGGATGCAATGCCTCTCCACGTGTCTCTGGCCCGTCTCTCCGGGGACACAGGGAGTCCTGCTGTGATGAGCCAGGACACGATGCCTTCTGCGTCATCCAGCAAGACTTCCCACCACTGCACCATCGCGGGTGCGTCGATTGTCCCTTTGGTGCCACTCACACAGAGCTTGGAAGTATGGCTTGCACTGCGCAACCCGTCCCGCTGGCTCATTCAAGCAGTTCGACTCGGCTATGCGATTCAATTCGCTAAGCGATCCGCCAGGTTCAGCAGCACTCTAGAGACTTCGGTGGCAGTTCGAGATGCCCCTGTCCTGCGCGAGGAGATTGCCGTCCTACTGGCGAAGGACGCAACTGAGCCTGCCCCTCCAGCCAAGATGAGGCAGGGGTTTACACCCCTTGCTTCATCGTACCCAAGAAAGGTGGTGGCCTTTGGCCAATCGGTCGACCTGAAGGACGCTTACATTTAGGTCTCGATTTTTTCCTCGGTGCGGGCCGTCCTTATGGTTTGCATTCAAGGGTCGGGCTTAGCAGTACAGGGCCCTCCCCTTCGCGCTGTCCCTGTCCCCCCTGTGTCTTTACAAAGGTCGTGGAGGGCGCCCGTACACCATCATGCTGATGTGTTGCTGCTCATTCAGCCCCTGGGTAGACCTTGCCTTTCTACAGACCAGAGTACCCTTAGAACAACAGGGCCTTGACTGCTTTGACACATGAACTGCCTCGAGTTGCTGGCAGTGCTACTAGCCTTGCGGCGGTTCCGGACGTTGCTGCTTGACAAGCACGTGTTGGTCCGCACTGTCAACACTGCGACCGTTTCGTACATCACAGGGTTGTCTACGATCACGTCGCATATCACAACTTGTCCGCAACCTCCTCCTCTGAAGTCAGCTCGAGTCGCTGTGCGCCGTCCACATTCCAGGGGAGCTCAATCGTGCAGCCGACGCGCTCTCACCACAGCTCACGTTCACTGAAGAATAGCGACTCCATCCTAAGACGATCCGGCTGATCTGGAGTCGATTCGGGGAAGCCCAGGTAGACCTGTTTGCTTCCCACGACTCCTCCCACTGCCAGCTGTATTACTCCCTGACAGAGGCCCCCCTCTGCACGGATGCACTGGCACACAGCTGGCCTCGGGCTCTACGCAAGTATGCGTTTCCCCCAGCAAGCCTTCTCGCACAAACACTGTGCAAGGTCAGGGAGGACGAGAAATGGGTCTTGCTGGTTGCGCCTTACTGGCCCACCCGGACCTGGTTTTCGGAACTCATGTTCCTTGCGACAGCCCCTCCCTGGCGTATCCCTCTGAGGAAGGACCTGCTTTCTCAGGGGCTCGACACCATATGGCACCCGCGTCCAGGTCTCTGGGACCTCCACATGTGGCTCCTGGATGGGATGCGGCAGACTTAAGTGATCTGCCACCTGCGGTGGTAGACCCCATCACTCAGGCTAGAGCCCCTTCCACTAGACAAGCCTAGGCCCTGAAGTGTAGTCTGTTCGTGAACTGATGTTCTTCTCGCCAAGAAGACCCCCAAAGATGCACGATTGAAGTAGTGCTTCCTTTCCTGCAAGAAAGATTGGAGCGTAGGCTGTCACCCTCCACCTTGAAAGTGTATGTGGCTATCGTAGCACATCACGATGCAGTGGACGGCCAGTCCCTGGGAAAGAACGATCTCATCGTCAGGTTCCTGAGGGGTTCCAGGAGGTTAAATCCTCTTTAAATAAGTTTAAATAATTTTTGAGCTGCTGGATTCATTCGAGCTTAAATTCCTTAAATTCCTGAGACAGCGCCCCTGACCGCGCTCACTTCCATCAAGAGGGTTGGGGGCCTCCAAGCATTTTCGGTGAGCGAAGAGTGCCTTGTGTTCGGGCCGGCCTACTCTCACATTGTCCTAAGACCTCGGCCTGGATACATGCCCAAGGTTCCCACCCCATATACGTGGACCGCACCCGGAGATTCAGAAGCTCTAAGCAGCTCTTTGTCTGTTACGGAGGTCAGCAGAAAGGGAAGGCTCTCTCCAAGCAGAGGTTGTCCCACTGGATAGTGGATGCCATCGCCTTGGTGTACCAATCCCAAGGTGAGCCGTGCCCCCTGGGGGTGAGCCTCCTCCTATGCGCTGGCGCACGGCGCCTCTCTGGCAGACATCTGTAGAGCTGCGGACTGTCAACACCGAACACCTTTGAGAGATTTTACAGTCTCTGCGTTGAGCCGGTTTCTTCCCGTGTGTTGGGTAACAGGTAAGTTCCTGGAAGAGCTGGCTGTTGTCATGCTTGCTGCGCCATTCCCCCTCACCTGGGGATGCGAGCGACTTCTTCCTCTTCCAGTAGAGTTTTCTGAATGGCGAACCCTGGTTGAGTATCCTCCAGCACCCCCAGCAGTCAGACTGGGTGGAGCAGTCTGACGCCAGGCCCAGTATCGGTGTTAGCTTGCCCGGGTCTCCAGTCAGCCCCTGGGCTAGGTGTCCATATGGCTTGATTCCCTTCGGGCGATCCCGTATGTGTATTCTTCCACGGTAAGGTTTCCCTCTCTGTGAACCCGTGTCTTCCCTTTGACAGACCATTCTGTCAGACTCTGCTGGCAGTTGTTCCTCCTTATTCTCAGGTAGGACCTGTCTCAGTCCCATACCATACGTAGTACAGCCCTAGGCCTGGGTCAGTCCATATTAGTGTCTCCACATGATAACTCCCTACGGGTAGGATGTGGCCTCCATAGCGCCCTACTCTGGAAGGCTCGTTTCCCCATCGTTACTGCCAAGCTGTAAACAATAAACAGGAAAGGCATGAAGCACCTTTCACGAAGGTCGAAATCTTTTCTCTTAAGAAAAGATTTTCTGTTGTAGGAACATCAGCATGGCTATCTCCAACAGCAATGTACTCACCTTTTTGGTCCCTTCGGGCTCCAAGGTCTGCAAATTTGCACTGGGGCATTGGGAAGGTTATGACCTTTGCGAAGCTTTTGTCTGATACGCGGCTGCTTGTCAACATTTGCAATGCTACAGGGTTTTGACGGGGTTCTGGTTGTGGCACTTTCCATGCACCCCCTATGTCGTCACAACATAACTCGTAGTGACCGAGAGATAGAGAACATCTCGGTTAAGTACATAACCCATTATGTCTGAGACGATATGTAACCGAGACACTATGTCCCCATGCCACAACCTTGAACCATCACCGGTTGCCAGGGACACGTTCTCGGCTCCTCAGCGTAACACCTGAATGAGTGGATGCACCTGTCGCCTATTTATACCCGTGTGCACGGGGAGGGGCTCAGGTATGCAAAATCCAAATTTAATTTGCGTTTTCTCTTAAAGTCAGAGAGGATTGGGGCTCCCAAGTAAACCCCCTATGTCGTCATGACATAGCGTCTCCATTCCCTCCATCAGGGAATGAGGGTTATGTACGTAACCAAGATGGTTTTTGTTGTTGTTATTTATTATGCATACTGAACAGGTAGCCTTTCAAGTATACTCTGATATCATGTGCGAACACAGGTGGTTGACACGTGCTCTAGAAAGTTTCATTTTTATCCAGTGTCTGCACCATTTTTCTTAAGAAGTTATGGCTGATAAAAATGTTGTTGTACTCTTTTAAAATAAATTGCAGCTCTGACACAAGCACTTGTCAATGCGGCCATCTGTTGTTTGAAGTCCCAGTATTTATTTTACAGTATTTTTTTGTTCTTCCATTTCTTAAGTTTCATTTTCTACTGTCAAACAACGGCCTGGGACACTGTTGCCACCTTGTGGAACAACTAATTAGTGCAAAACAAATTCTATGTGCCTGTGTGACCTGGGCTATTGCAAAAATCAGGTGGTGTGCGTACAGTATGCGCATACTACTCTGGTGGCGAAATCTGCATCAAACGCACTGCACACAGACCCTCGCGTACGCATAAAAACCGAAGTGTACTTTTGGCTTAACGTATGGAAAATAGTCATCATAAAAAATCAGTAGACATCTGATTGGAAGCACACACCTGTTTTTTGTTGATCTTAAAGCTGTTGTTTCATGACACTTTATTAGTAAACTATGATTTTGGTCATATCTGAAATACGTTTGCCTGTCAGCGAATATTGTGAAGACACACATCTGTGAATGTGTGTTTGATCTCAGGGACCTCCACCGAAACCGGCCCGTCGGCAGGGAGGATGGGCGGAGGAGAGCACAGGAACCGGATCTGCCAAGTGAGTCGACGTCTCCCTCTCTCTGTCTTTCTGGGATACATAAATGTTCTTAATGTTCAGCCTTTCTAAAAGCCCACACTGTTCTGTCCCACATACAAACCAAACACCTCACGCACAGTCAATTAAATGCAAAGATGAGAACATTCCACACAATTTCTTCACTCACAAAGCTTTATTAAACAGCAGTGTTTCAGTCCAGCATTTTTAAGTGAGAAATCCATCAATTATTATACATTTCATAATAACACACCTGTTTTTTGTTGATCTTAAAGCTGTTGTTTCATGACACTTTATTAGTAAACTATGATTTTGGTCATATCTGAAATACGTTTGCCTGTCAGCGAATATTGTGAAGACACACATCTGTGAATGTGTGTTTGATCTCAGGGACCTCCACCGAAACCGGCCCGTCGGCAGGGAGGATGGGCGGAGGAGAGCACAGGAACCGGATCTGCCAAGTGAGTCGACGTCTCCCTCTCTCTGTCTTTCTGGGATACATAAATGTTCTTAATGTTCAGCCTTTCTAAAAGCCCACACTGTTCTGTCCCACATACAAACCAAACACACCTCACGCACAGTCAATTAAATGCAAAGATGAGAACATTCCACACAATTTCTTCACTCACAAAGCTTTATTAAACAGCAGTGTTTCAGTCCAGAATTTTTAAGTGAGAAATCCATCAATTATTATACATTTCATAATATTTTTTTAAGCATGTATCAGCCAACTTTTGGACAGCACACATTATTGTGTGAGCTGTGTTTGCAATCCACCAGTAATGTTGTAGTATTACCAAGCTGAGTATTTCTTAGTATTTCTCTCATCATGTTTTTCTTAATTTTTGTCGAATGTGCGTTCTTTGCTTTAGTTCTTTTCATCAGTGTTAATATCCTCTTATCTCCGCTCTCATCTATTTGATCTAATTTTAGTTTTTTCATCTCACTTAACAGCATGAATTACATAAACTGCAGTTATAACTAAATCGAATGCTTGTAAACTGCTTTTGGATTTTTGGAGTAATGTTTTTTTTTTTTCATTATTATGTAAAACAAATTATAGTGAATCCAGCATCAGTGCTGTAGGGTTTGTTGTGGGCCCCTAGAATCCCATTAGCCCTGGCCCCGCTGCAATGAGGGTCACTCGCCACATGATGGTGTCATTTCCTGTTAAATGAGTTTTACTGGACCGACCAGAATTATTATGATCACTCCTACTGCCAGCGTTTATTTCAGTAATTCACCTGTAAACACTAATGTAAGAAAACAGAAACACCCATATTTCCATATGAAGTTTTTGATAAATATGCACATATTTTCACCATTCTGAATTAATTCAATCCAGCTACAAATTCTGAATGTATGTGTGCCCTGAAGCCTGCCAAACATTCATATATTCTGAACACAATTTCTGTGCATGCGGCGAGCAGCGTTTACCGTAACACTGAGAAGTCCTGTTAATCCTATCAGAGAAAACCACAGAATCAGCTGTAGAAAGAAGAGCCCTAAATTTATTTAACAAAACAGAAAGAAGCAGTCATCATTACTCCAGTCTTCAGTGTCACACGATCTTCAGAAATCAGTATAATATGCTGATCTGCTGCTCGAGAAACATTTCTGATTATTATCAATGTTGAAAACCGTTGTATAATTTGTGGAAGCCGTCATTTTATTCAAAATTTTATTCAAAAATGAATCGATTTATTTGAAATAGTTTATAACATTATACATTATACATGCATTCATTTCTGAAAAAATACTACTAATAAAAAATAAACAGTAAAATAAATAAATAAATACAATTTGACCCCAAACTTTTGAACGCTAGTCAATTTAAGGTTAAAATAAAGAAATAAAATAAAAACAAAAAAATTGTTTGGTTTACAGATTGATCTTTTTAAATTTATGGTGAATAAAAACCTTTGTATGTCATTAATTGATGCAATGTTAATATGGTAGTTTTTACTGTACATGAAAACCACCACGAAAACAACAACGGTAAATTAAAAGATGCATGAAGAATCAAAGTTCATCACAAATAGCATTTCCACAATCTGAGTATACTAATCACATGACCTCATCACACTGCATGTAAGGTTGTCCCGTTATCAACTTAGAAATTGTTATTTTGCATTTTTAAATCAGTTTTGTGTAAACGTGTCGACTGGTCAAATAAAACAAGATTTTTTTTTTGCACTGGAAATGGACCTTGCAAATGCAGCAGCTCAGTCTTATGCATACAGTAAATGTGCATACTGTACACAGTAAACATACTGTACACCGACCGGAGAAATGTTAGTATGTGAACACGGCTGTTGGCTCAGTTAGTGGGGAATGAAGCAAACTCTACACGTCTCTCAGGAAAGGTCAAAGTGTCGCTTCTGCGCGTCTGCCAAACTTATCTTGATTCTCTCGGCTGGGAGGTGTTAAAGGGCTTCTCGACGCATTGATTCTCCTTCTGAAACAAAGTAATCGTCCCCTCTGAAGAAGACAAGGACTTTTTCTTCATCTCAATGTCACCCCTCGTGCTCAATCACCGGCGCTCTGTTCCCGCTAATCCCACAGCAGAAATCCCGGGATTTGCAGATCTATCACTCCTAATTGACACTAAATGATCTGTCAGTTTATTGATGAAGCTTTGAAGCCAAGTTGTCACAATATATTTTATCCTGAACAACTTTATCCAGACAGTTTTACCGTGTTTATGGCGCTGCGTTACACGGGTCTTAATGGAGAGCGCTGTAATGAGTCTTAAACAGCGGCCGCGTGTCAAGAGCCGGACATGCTAACATCTGTGATTATCAGCATCTGTGTTACTCTTTACACATTACTTTATTACCCTGTAGTGCTCCTAAGGTTACAAAAGCACATTTGACACAGTATCCATGCTTTTGGGAAGCAGTATAATGAACACAGTCCAATCTCTGAATACACAGTAGCTTCATGATATCAATGCATTATAAAACTAGATTCAATTTTTTAATTGTTTATTATCTTAGGGTTAGCATAAAATATTGACTTGAATGCTTTGATTATGTTAAAGACTTGAGATGCACATTGCTGTCAGGATCCATTAGGTGGCGTTCAACACCAGCAAAAACCAGCTTGTATATCACATTAACCCTGTACATATGACATAAGAAAAATATAATTCTATGTTATTGAACCTTTAGAGTAAACATCTAAAACAAAATGTTTGCATATGTGTTTTTTGTTGATCCTTCAGGCTTTTAAGGCTCATATAGTCTGATATAGTGAGAATATGAAGGAAAAAACTGATACATTTTATTTAGACTCAAAAAAAAGAAGCTATTTGCTGCAGATGCTGATATTTATATGATGAAATTCTGATGCTTGTGATGTAAATCAGTGAGATCTTTATAACAGTGCAGCAGATACTGACATAAAGTGATCTAAATATCAGTCGTCTCTATATCTTCAGTAGTCTGTCTCAGTGAGATGAGAGTGAAATGCTCCAAACATATAATGCAGTGACTGAGAGCTGAAGAAATAAAGGCTCCTCAGAAGATGTGAGATGTTCTGGAGGCTTGTGAAGATCATTCCTCCGCTGAGGAACAGTGAAAGTAAAGCTTCTGGAAACAAACGCTGCTGCTTCAGTCCAGTAAGTGTTCATCTGGAGATATTACTGCAGTTATTCTGACCTTTACTTGATCAAAACCAGTCAAGATTTGACACGAGAAGCAGCAGCTGAAGCTGGACGCTTGTACAATTACACTAAAAGAGCTTTTACTGGATAAAACTCTCTAAACTATCAATCAGACGATAGAAGACCTGGAGCAGATTGAGTGTGAAACAGGTTTAACAGTAAAGTTTGATCATGTTAATCATTTCAAGACTTTAAAAATGTGTGTATCAAATATAGTACAGTAGGCCTTATAGGGTTAATGCTGTATACCTGCAATAAAGGGCCTCATGTATTTTTATTTCTACGTTCCTCTCTGTTTAAACAGTGTGCAAATGATTTTCACCACATTAAAGAGTAAAAATGATTATTTTAAAATCAAAGGCATTAATTATTCCAGCTGGTTATATTATGCAGTGTGTTCTATATGAGAGAGCACGTTACAGTAGACATGCAGACGAGCTGTGATCATGATGCTGATTGTAGATTTGTGATGTCCTGCACAGGTCTGGACGCCGGCCGGCCGCTGAAGAGCTGGAGGAGTGAGTTTACACCTTTACTGTTTCACTTTGACACGCAGTGATTAGGAGCTGAAATCTCAAGAAACAGGAATGTTTGTTTATGCTCTTGATTTAAGGAGGAAATTACCATCGTGCTGAATTTGTCCTTGGTTAATGCGAGAACAATCACTCTGATTAAACGACGTGATGGTGGAGTTTACATACTGTATATATAACCTGCGGTTAGGGACTAGATCACAAGGACTGGACCGTATATCACAATATTCACTTTATATTCGTAGTGATTTGTCCATTCATTTTCCTAAAGATTGTTGTTAAACAGTTACACCTTGTCTTGTGACTGGCAAGTATAAAAATATTGGAAACACTTTCCATTTATTAACCAGTGTTGGGGGTAACGCATTACAAGTAACACGAGTTACGTAATCAGATTACTTTTTTCAAGTAACTAGTAAAGTAACGCATTACTTTTTAATTTACAAGAGAATATCTGAGTTACTTTTTCAAATAAGTGATGCAAGTTACTTTTTTTTTCCAATGTATTGATTGTCAGCTCTCCTGTCGCCATGCTGAGAGAAATCAGAAGATGTTACTGTAGCTATAAAATAAATATGAATATGCATTAATTCATCTCACTCACAAAAACACACAGATTCAGTATTCCTCAAAATGAATAAAAAAATGCAACTCAGAATATGACGCAAGCCTGCAATAATTAAATGTTAAACAACACAAATATGCTTTATGTATTTAATCCCACTCTATTTTCTTCTGAGCTTCCATGATCCAGTTCAAGCGTACTAATAAGCACACATTACTCTAGACACACATTTGTGTGTGT